AGTTTGAAGTATGGCTTCTAAAGATGCTACATGCTACACACACGGTGCCTGACACGTCCAGCAATGCTTGTAAAAAGGGGTAGTTTTTATTTGATTCTGGATAAACGATATAAAAATAGAACACTGAATTTTTTTGTGGATTTAAAAGTTGTGGAACCTAATTTAGCGGAAGCCTATTGGTCCGCTAACGCTTTCCAAAGTTAGCAAAAAAAAGCTAATCCACCAAATGAGAAGCTAGTTCCGCTATTAGTAGTTGAAATGATTAGAACTGTGTGAACCACTGGTTTTCAGGTAAAGAAAGCATCAAAAGCTGGCACATTTTCCTCAGACCTGACTGGCCTTCGACAGACGCCGTCTTCTTTGACCTTTAAGTGAACGCCTTAAGCCTGGACCGTTTTTATTTCGGCGGAACGTGAAATGATTGCGGAAAAATGCAGTGCCCCACTTGGGAGGTTAAGTTTCATAAGTGCCTTTTTATAAATGTCAGATCCCTGCTGAATGTGCACTCGCGCGTTTCCCACCGATCCCCGTGGGTGTAGGAAACATTGTACGCCGAGCACCAAGCTGCTCATCCTAAAAAAACTGCACCGCTCTGAGCCTCAGGGGCATATTCAGTGAGTGGCCTCGTTAAGTCAGCRTCACTGACTGAACAGTCATTATGTCTATCAGTTTTCAAATTGATGGTATATTTTTTAAAAATGATTTAAAAAGACTGAATAAGGAGGGACTTTATTACCTCGCAGTGGTTGAAAATTTGAGTAATAATGTTTTCAACCAGCTTGAAAACAGCCAGAATAGCAGAAGAGACCATTGAAGGGAGGGTGGAGCTATCCTGCAGCTTTGAGTGTATCTGAATCCTATCGTGYTCTGGTGAAATCACTGGAAGTTGCTCTCATCCAAATTCTTTTTTCTTTTTGAGTTGTTGCTTTTTATCTTCTTTTTTTAAGGCCCGTGCCTCTAAACGCAGATGTGCTTTTTTTTTGTTGCTCTTGCTTTAAATTGTTTTATAGAGACCATGTTTTTCTGGGTGCATGTCCATTTCATTCTACATCAATCACCATCACGTTTCTTTTTGGACAGTCTTTTTTTTTTTTTAAACATCCTCGCTCTCCAAACTGCTTTTCTACCGGGAAGCCGCAGCTGTGGACATGCAAGACCATAAACGCTTATCAATGTGCAACGCCTCATACGTGTTAGGAAAATCTACACTCTCTGTGAAGCGAAAGGGGAAACATCGGCAAGCACATTCCACACAAATGTTTCATATAAAAGTTTATATTTGTTTGTGTGTCTAAAGTCAGAAAGTCAGTCAGTTTTGTCTCATGTCACACCTCCTCTTTGTGTCCAGCCACCTTCCCTTGGGTTCCTCTCAAATGGAAAAGCCTCTCAGACGACGCATTTCTTCGAATTAAATGATCGCATACCGTGCCCAGTTTTGCATTTGATCACATAAATGCAAAATGAGCCACGTCAGACTCACTTTCATTAGCTTCCTTCCCTTTTTACTCAAGAAAATCTTCAGAAAATACCCTGCAGGTTATTGGACAGAGGTATTTGTAAAAAAATACATTTCATGAAAATAAATTACAGTGTATTTTAAAGGCTCAATATCATGAAAAATCTACTTTTTTGAGTTTTATATCATGTTATAATGTTATCCTCTCATCAAAAACAGGCCCAGAGTCTTGCTGTGACTCATTCATCACCACAGAGCACACACACCTGGTCCGTGCTGAAACAGGCGGGACAGAAGCGGAAGGAGCTTCTTAAAGAGACAGAGGCCAATTTCWAGGCGTTTAGAAACAGACATGATGAAGTCGATTTTAATTTCAATTTAAACATATAAACAGCATTTTAATAACAACTGAAGGTGACATGGTTACTTTTTTATGGTATAGAATTTAAATATATGCCTGAGAAACACATAATATTGGCTCTTTAATTAAATTCAAAACAGCTTGTGGCAGTTTTCAAAATAAAAGCTGCACTTTTGGATCTGTTAGGATATTCATTTGTTTTAATTTAACTGTAGTTTGGTCAAATTACAGCCCTGTAATCATAACAAATCATTAAATCTTTATTTACATTTGTCCTGTTCTTGCAAATGATAGGCCTAGACTTAAATAGATTTAAGTGACAACATGTTGAAATTTTTAGACAGTGTTCTGCATACCGTCAAAATAAAAAAGCAAGTTTATATTCAGTAATATTTTAACTTTTCTTATGCTACTTGTAACATTATTTTTATGCATTTGACTGATATTGCAAATACAGTGAAGCCCCGCAAAGTATAGTTTCACTCAGTCTTTTGTAGRCTTTTTCGTGGAACATACTAGTAGTTACTAGTAGTGGTATATATCGCAGAAACTGGAACTACAGCACAATAAGGAACATATTTCTTCTTCTTCTTCTTTTGTGCTTTTTTGTGAATTTTAAAGCTAAATTATTAGGAACTAGAGATGTAACAATTCACCCAAACCCCGATTCGATTAGCGATTTTACAACAATGAAATAGATTCATTCGTTTTTATAAATCGATTCACGTTAAACACTTATAATCGATTCTAACAGTACTGTGTGACGTGTAGCTGCGAACTGTTTGTCTCTTGTGTGTTTTTGTTTGGTTTTTATCTCATTAAGATGCCACCCCAAATGCGCTCCAGGCCTTTCCTGGACCGCATCCAATATTTTCAATATTTTCACGATTCGCGGGTACTCTTAGAACGTAAGACCCGCAAAAATCAGGGCTTCACTGTAGTTTTTTTTTTAAGTCTTCCCCACACAATTTGCCCAATTTGTTGAA